GGATGGGCAGGGAGCCGGGGAGCGGCCGGCACCGCTCCAGCGCCCGGCGGGCTGCGGCGGGGAGGAGGAGGAGGAGGAGGAGCGGGAGGAGCGGGCTCAGGTGCAGGCAATCATCGCATGGGGGGAGCAGGGAGGCAGCGGCAGCCGCTCCAGCCGCACCGCGGTAACAGGACTCCCTGTCAAGTATTGGACATAGCGGCTGGTGAGGATGCGTGTAGGTGAGAAAGCTTCTCTATTGCTTTAGCAGGGAATTGGAGTAAGGAGTGATTTTGTACGTGCTCTTTTGCTTATAGACAAAGGGAGCAAATAGGTGGAAATATTCGGGGATGTTATAAAATCTGAAAGGACTTTCTGTACAGCGTGGCGATGCACGACAGGAAATTAACTCCAAAAAAGAATGCTTTCTCTCAAAGTGCTGCGACAGAATTGAACATTTGGCTTTTCTAGTATCTGAAATTCCTCCTGAAGATACAACAAGGACTATCAGAAACATCAGAGAGATCCTGGTACTTTTAAAGAGACTTAAAGCAAATGCAAGCTGAATGACCTTGGAGATCATTTGATGTGGATTCATTAATTTTCACTGCTAGTCTTCTAGTCTCAGGAACTCTAGGATTAATAATGGTTTTAACATTTTAGGGGCCTTTCAAAAAACAAGATTGTATACATTTAATTACCTGCCTAATTATTCCTGAACTAATCAAGCATTTACTTAAAACTGAACACAGAAGATGCTTTCTTTTAATGTTTTCTCTCTCTATTGCTGTGAATAAAATGAACAAGGTAATGTCCTGCAAATAGAAGAACAATTTTTTAAAGCAACTATTTATTATGGGGATCATCTAGTAAATATAGAAACCTTAAACCCTGAGACGATGAAGCTGAGCAACAGAATAATGGAGTAGTAAACAATGGCAGCTTTTCTAGTCAAATCAGCATTTCATTAGCTTCCCAGCAGAATGCAGATGGAAGTTTTTGAGCTCTTTGTGTGGGGGTTTGTGAAATGATTCAGTTGTTGCTACAGAGGTGAGCAATATCATGGATATACCTATGAACTCCTGGGTACTGATCCACTGTAGTAGATATGGCAGAGTTTCTAAAGATGATTCTTTAAAATTGCCATTGCTGAAATTAAATTCTAGAGGATTTATTTTGTCTGTGGGGACACTGAATTATGATTCCTGGCCTTTGTAACTGTAATGGACTATAACTGTTTAAAAGAACTGTAAATACTAACACGAGTCTCCAAAATCTACTTTAAAATTATTTTCATTTTTAAATGAATAGATACGATCTTCCTCATTGTATGTGAGATGTATGTTTTCTTTCTTGGGAGCCAGAGGACAAATCTGCCTCATCCCCCACCTGTCTCCCCCTAAATAAAATTCATTATTCATACCCAAATAGTGGTGAGTCTATTGGAATTAACCTTGACAAAAATGTTTTCCTTACCTTTCCAATGAATAGCATGGGTAAGATGGAATACCATCTTCTGAGTCAAACAAGAAAAGACAGCATTAGAGGATGAACTTTTTCCTTTAATCCCCAGTCAGTCTGTGATTTAAAGTAAGACATTAATATTATCTCCAGTAACTGCTGGTCCAGGAAACCTGAGCTGTCCTGAGGTTCCTTCTTCCCTTCCTCTCCCTCTCCCCAGTATATTCCAAAGTAAACGTCTTTCTCAGGAAAATAAGTCAGAGATTTCCCCCCCTCCTTCCCTGGGAAATGAATGTGTCTCTTTTGTCAATTTTTGTTTCTATTTGTTTTAGAAGTGCCTTGTGTTTGCTAAAGATGGGTCAAGAGCACTGGAGGAGCTGATCAGTGGCCTTTCTCTTTCTGGCTTTTGTTTTTCTTTTCTTTCTTTCTTTCTCTTTTTCTTTCTTTCTTTCTTTCTTTCGTTCTTTCCTTAAAGCCAAGGTGTGCCAGAGGTGATGCACTGATGCTGAGGAGGCATCAACAGCTATGGGACTCTAATCCTCTCACATGTAAGCACTGGCAGTGTCTGCAAAGAGAGACCGTGAGACGCTGAAGCAGAGTTTAGCTGCTGTTGAGCAGATCAGCTGCTCACTAAGGCTCAGATTGCACTGTTCCCTAAGCACAAAACATGAACCAGTCCCGATGGATTGAATGGAGGACTCTGAATATGAGCAATAGTGTTATGAACATATCTGAGCACCTCTCCTGCCCTCTTGGATTTGGTCACTACAGTGCAGTTGACATTTGTATCCTTGAGACAGTCATTATTGTCTTGCTAACATTTTTAATTATTGCGGGTAACTTAATTGTGATATTTGTTTTTCACTGTGCTCCACTCCTGCATCATTACACCACCAGCTATTTTATTCAGACCATGGCCTATGCTGATCTTTTTGTTGGAGTCAGCTGCTTGGTTCCTACTTTGTCACTGCTCCACTACTCAACAGGTGTCCACGAGTCCTTGACATGTCAAGTTTTTGGATACATCATCTCTGTGCTCAAAAGCGTATCTATGGCATGTCTTGCTTGCATCAGTGTGGATCGCTATCTCGCTATAACAAAGCCTCTCTCCTATAACCAACTGGTCACACCTTGTCGCTTGAGAATCTGCATCAGTCTGATCTGGATATACTCTTGCCTGATCTTCTTGCCTTCTTTTTTTGGTTGGGGAAAACCTGGTTACCATGGAGATATTTTTGAATGGTGTGCTACCTCCTGGCTAACTAATGCCTACTTTACTGGCTTTATCGTGTGCTTACTATATGCTCCTGCTGCCTTTGTCATATGTTTCACCTATTTCCACATCTTTAAAATTTGCCGGCAGCACACCAAAGAGATCAGTGATCGGAGAGCTCGGTTTCCTAACCACGAAGGGGATGCTGCTGGGGAGACTGGGCACAGCCCCGACCGCCGCTATGCCATGGTTTTGTTCCGGATAACCAGTGTGTTCTACGTGCTGTGGCTCCCTTATATCATATACTTTCTGCTGGAAAGCTCTAGGGTGTTGGAAAACCCAGCATTCTCCTTCCTAACTACGTGGCTTGCTATAAGCAATAGTTTCTGCAACTGTGTGATATATAGCCTCTCCAACAGCGTATTCAGGCTGGGACTGCGGAGACTGTCAGAGACAATATGTTCATCTTGTATGTGTTCAAAAGACAGGCATGTACGGGACCCTAAACCGAGGAAACGGGCTAATTCCTGCTCCATTTAAAGAAAACTGGTGCATGTAATCAAATGCTGAGTTTTGATAGTATTTGTGGTATCTGGAAACTTGCCAGAGAGAAATGTTTACTTGAACAGCTTGCCGTGGTGTTAGAGTGAATTTAAAAGGGTTCTTGGAAAAGGTAAAGGCAGCTGTAAGAAGGGTCACTGAACTCTTGTGAAATTGTCGTGAGAGCAGTTCAACAGAGACGATGAAGAAAGTCAGAAATAAAAATCTTCCAAAGGTCATGAAGTAACTAGCACATCAGAGGAGGTTCCTTGTAAAACAAATTAGTTAGTTACTATCTTACATTTTCCCCCTTGTAGACAAGTTGTCTTTGTGTCAGAATATACTGTAGCCTTCAGAAATTTACTACATTTAAGAGGAAGCAATCAACACCACAGTATGCAGCTATCCATAAATTATATACTTGAGGACTGTAGCAGCTACTGCAGGTAATAATCAGCTCTGTCTTTGCTCACAAAATGTACAATTTTCAGTTGTACAAAAAATCTGCAGTGCATAAACCGTACCCTGGGCATGACACTTTGGGATAAACTGGCACTTTTTGGTGCAACTTACACAGAAGCTCTCCCTCTCATTTCCCTTTTTTTTCCATACTGTGCATCCCTGTATTCAGCTGTATGCAGGTGGGTGAGTTTGAGGGCACCTGTGAGTTAACCTGAGTTCCAAACCATTCTTTCTGCAAGAAGCAGTAGCCCTCCCTGGCTGGCTACTCCTGCCCATGTATAATGATTTCTCCAGTTATTCACTCTCTTGACCCAGTTCAATCAGCACACTGTGTCGATGTGGTGTCCTTTAGGGTGTACTGAAGCTTTTCCTTACTGGTGCTCCTAACACAGATATGATAGTGGCACACAGCAGTGTGCAGCACTACTTAGAAAATTAAAATTAACTGACCCTTTTCTTTGGGAAATCTTAAGAGCTTACTGTTGTAGCTGTCAGTCTGTTGTGTGAACCTCACTTGCACATACCGTATTTTTTTAAGAGAAAATGTAAACTGTGGTCTGTGCCTAATGTTTTCATAGCACATGGAGTAGGTCAATGGTACAGCATCAAAAAATTTACACTTGCTTTAAGAGAAATACTTCTGTGCAGCTCTTTGTTAGAGAAGTATTCACAGAGAAGGTGAACAAGACAGTTTAAATACAGGCCAAGAGCTTTGGTATGTCCTTTTGTACTGAACTGACTTTCAGGTCTACTGATGAAATCTTTCTGATTTTGCAAGGGCACACATTAGGTTTGTGTAATAAATTGCCAGGGGTTCAGATGCATGCCAGTCAATACAATATTTAAATTATAACTTTAAACCAAATGTAATTTTCTTAGATGGTTATTGGCTTTTAAAAAAGGCCCAATTATTGATTATTGGTGCCTTTTAACACTGCACTATTATTCCTTCTTTCACCAAAATGCGTATGTAAAGATTGTGCCTATTACTTTTTGTAATGAAAGCTGACCACGTGTGCACACTTGTGGTTTGATTCTAGAGCTCCCTTAAAACTGTACTCTTTGTTCTGTTGAGGTGGTTCTGAACCCCTGTACATTTTTTTTAAACCTGTAAGAAAGTTGAAACAATGGAATAAAGTAGTATTCTGTCAATCAAACTCAGCCTTGGCGTTAGTTCCCTGATGTCACACTCTGTTCTCTGGGAAAGTCCTTTTGGGTTAGGACTTGAGTGAACAATTTCAAATCCAAATTTTGAAGCTGCTTACTTGATGTCTAAAATGTTCATATTCTAGTTTCTGGCACTGCATGTCTTCATAGTAGATTCAAATATGACTTGAAATATTCCTCAAGCTGAGCTGAGCTGTTGCTGACACCCAGCTCTCACAGATATTACGGAAAGATGAATAGTATCCTTTCCATGGGTCTCATAACGTTCCATGTCTACAGGAGGAACGTAATTGCTGCCTTCTTTTGACAAGTTCATGTTTATTTTGGGAGGCTCTCTTGGCTCACTGCTGCTCTGTGTGGTTGTGTAACCCCAACTCTTCCTACAAACATGACTTGGATTAATTTAGTTTTGTCATTATTTTGTAATTTTTTTCCTGCTTAGTAGGCCCTCAGCAAGCAGGACTTAGACAAGGAGCAACAAAATATCTTATTTCTCACAATTCACAGAACTGGTTTCTTACCAGTAAAGTCATTTTATATCTGTGCTCCAGAGTTGGCCACTTAGAGCTTCTGATTTTCATTGGCATTTCTGGTGACAAGTTTCTATGGGACCTTCTGGAATTCAAGAAAAGTTCTAGCAAGTGTTTGAAGTCATACTGACATTCACTGAAGCCAGGCTGTAGGCAGCAGGTGTGTTGTGACTGTGGAACTGTAACTCCAGATGTGTCAAACACCCGAGCAAACTCGTTCTGCTCAATTGTGCCTTAGTCGAACCCTTTTTCTGTGACCTCAGCAAGTGCAGTTGATGTACAGCAACTTCAGGCTTTATTGCCTGAAAATGGTGGGTCAGAGGTAGGGCTTTGCCTCAGGGGCTGCACGACAAAGTTTGCTCACCCTGATGGGCACAGTTAGCAATATATTCCACTTTGCCATCGTGTTTAGTGTGTGGATTTACTGGGTGGAACTAGAAATTTCCTTTTCCCTCAGGCTATTTCTTGGAGGGAGAGAATATAAGTGAAACAGCTTGTAGGAAGCAGCTTGTAGGTTCCAAGGTTCTTCACCCCTTTTCAAAGTTTTTTGGTTTGTTGAACACTGGTTTCACGTTATTGATGCAGGAACATCAATTTGCTTACCTGGATTCTGAATCTCAGCAGTGAAATGTAAAGTCGCATTTCACCCTATTCTCTAGAAGTCTCCTGGAGTCTGTGAAATTAAATATCCTCAGCAGATTTAAGTATTGCTTTTCTTCTTTCTGTTTCCCAGGTGACAGGATTTGACCTGATCAGTCATATGAATCTTTAAATTCAGTATGTGTGTTTCATTTTATGGAAGTTTCTTCTAAACTCATGATTTAAAATTTTTATTTGAGGGACGTTTTGTTATTGTTTACTAATGCTGTCTGAGGATTCCAGCTGGTGCCAAATTCTCTTCCTGAATTAGAAGGCTGGGCATTTATTGGATTAAAAAAGTCACAGAAATTCCAGTCACCCAGTCTGTCACTTTTGATTTTCATTCTGTCATAATAAAAAGTTTCATGTTCTTGTATGAAAACCTGATTAAACAATGATACTTTTAAAGCTGGCTGCCACTTTCATGTGCTTGAAGATATTTATGATTTATAAAATACCTGGTAAATAGGAGACCAGACACTGACTAAAGAAGTTGATGTGAAAAAATCATTGTTGATAATACAGGTAATAAAAAGGAAGCACATGTAAAATACTAAATGAAAAAATGAAGCTATATGCCTGATAGATAGGCAAAACGTATATATATATATATATATATATATATATATACACACACAAAAAACTCCATTATGCAGGTAGATTATGTTGTGCTGTTATATTTCTCTGGGATATTTATGCTTGCAGCATACCAGGGGCAATGTCAAGGTCGATTGCCTTACCATTTTTGGAACCTCATCTCTGCAGCCTAAGGAAAAGTCAAAAAAATTGTGTAATGGCAGCAAAAGAGCTACCAGAAAAGGTTTTTTTTCTTCACCAAATTCTGTGTGATTCCTCATTTTCTGGCTAAGTAAATTTCTTCCTAAAATACTAGTCTTTAATAGGAAAGGGAACTGCAGTGATAAAAAACACATTGCTATCTTCTAAGGTTTACTTATTGCCTTATACTAAGATATTCTTTTCCTGTTTTTGTAACTGTACTCAGTAATGCTGGAGGCACTGTGCAAGTTTTATTTTTGTGCAGTCTTTGTGCTTCCCCTGTTGAAAAATTGGGAAAAGTTGCTTTATTGGGCTGCCTTTCACAGGTAGTTTAGTAAGACCTTTTAAAAATATTGCTTTTATTATTAATTTTCATTCATTAGTGTTTGACAATGAAATATCCTTGAGTACACTTAGTTTTTACACTCAGCAAAAGCAGTAAAATGTCCTTTTATGGGTAAATGAACTTAGCAGTCAATATTAGAAATTGAGATTTAATGATGAGTTACTTCAATAGCTGCTTCATTTCAACGTGGAGCTGTTTTATCTTTCCTTTTGGTTGTAGCTAAGCACATAAATATACAGATTCTTTCTTTTTTAAGGTTGGTGTTGGAATGCTGGGTATCTGTGTCTGTGAGCCCGGGTCCTGCTGTTTCCAGGGTGGGAGTATCCCTTTAGCAGCTTTCCAGCTCAGTTGCAGCGCAGTCCTGGAGCTGAGTGTGCCAGGGAGCAGAGCCAGAGGTTCAGCAGGCTGGTGTTGCTGTGGGGGAGGAATGTCACTGAAGGTGGCAGTGGCCTCCCCAGCCATCCACAGGACTGGCTGATTTGCAGATCTTTCAGATTTATTGTCCCTGTCACCAAAAGGAGAAGTTTAAGCCTTTGACTTCATCCCTGCCCCCTGTTCCCTCTGGCTCTTTTTTGTAAGGATAGAATGGTGCATCTCTCTACTGAAGAACTGAATTTGATTGATTTTGTTGGTTTTTTTCACTGAAAATTTTCATGTATGTCTTTTGAGTGGCCAAACCAAACACTGCTCTGTTAACTAGGTGCCAATTAATTTGCAGACCTTTTCAGAAAGGGCAGCATCACTGAGGTAGTGTTTTTGTGTTATTTGCAGCGTTGCCTGGAGCATTGCTTAAAGATAGCACTTTTCAAAGATTACATGTTTTTTGCTAAACCAAATATGGAGTTCAAGTAAACCTTTCCAAGTAAACCAAGATTCCCCCCTCATTTTATATAGACATATAATTTTTTTCTAAGTATGTACTGAGTTTATGCACAGATCTCAGCATTTTTAACCAAAGTCATTATTGTTGATGGGATGAAAGCGATGTAGAAGGGTATTTAAGAGGAGCTTCCTACACACAGGTTTTTCTAGTCATTATGTAAAGAAATTATTCCTTTCCCCTTCTGATATTAGGACAATCCCCCTGAGCTCCATGAGCTGTAAGTGCTAAAGGAGTGGGATGTAACTGGAGAAGAAGCTGTTAATGGCTCCATGCCCCAACACAGCCCTGAAAAAATACTGAAAACCCCTCACTTTTACATCCATAATTTCTTTGGGCTCCTTCTTTGTAAGTACTATGAAAGGTAGGATGAATATAAGGAAACCTTAGTGCTTTCAGCTGCACTGATGGGTGGCTAGAAAAAGTAATTTCAGGCAGTAAAATCTTTGGGACTTTATCCCAATCTTACACTGTCTGCTGCCAGCCTTAACCCTCTGGAGCAGACTGTGACAGCAGGGCTGCAGGGTTTCGTTTTAAGCCCCGTGTGACTCCATCTGGACAATAAAAAGGTGACTGGGAGCAAAATAAAACTTTTCTAAGTGCAGTGATTACCAGGGAAAAGAGTTTCTTTCCCTCTACGATGTTCATCCCTGCCTCAAAGCTCACAATCTAAAATTTACAGCTGGCAGTGTAGAAAAACAAGACAAACACCAAGATTTTGAGAGAGGGAAGCTCAGAGACATCAGTGTCATCATCTGAGGGCACTTCTGCCATTTGACAGCATTGTTCTTTGTTTCCTTTAAGTGAAATGTCTTTTTATTTGTGCAATAAGCACAAATTATTGTCATCATTGAAAAAGTCCATTTTATGAGATATTTAAACGAGGGACATTTAAATGAGTTTGGGCAAGTATTACAGAGGGTCCCAAGTCACTTCTGAAATCATGTACTACTTCAAATTTCATGCACTTTAGGCAGGAGTGTCTTCAAATACCTGTCCCAGGTCAGGGTTTTCAGTCCTTGTATCATCTCTCCAGTGTTCTTCATCCTTGTGTAAGTATTATGGAAAAGTCTTTCTTGTGGAGCAACTAAATTTAGAATTGCAAATGGACAAATGATTTTTTCCATGATAGGATAGATTTGTTCTGCCCTGGCTGAAGGACCCTGGCTGAATCTCCTCATATCTCGGTTGTTTGGGGTCATTGGCAGCTCTGCACAAACACATTTTTGGGTACCAGTGTGTGGGGCTGAAGCATGTGTCTGTCCTCTGCTGAAACTCTTACTCATGAAGTTAATCCTCTACTGATGGGGTGAGAGACAGCTGAAGGCAAAAATGCTTTCAACTACCTTAGCAAGACTTTTGCAGAGCTGTGGTGATCAGGGTTTTTAGTGGTAAGGAAATTTGTTGTAATTTAAAAAAGAGAGATCTATATGCTGTGAGTAATGAATTATTACTATGTCAAGAATACAGTAGTCTGGTTTTCATCTGTGCCCTCAACACACCAAAAGGATCTTCATATGTGAATTTTATTATAATCCGGTAGATATTCAGGCACTACAATTTTTAAAGGGAGTTTTAATGCAACTGTATGTACATAAGGATTATAAATAGTCATATAATAGCAAGGTTTCAGTGGCAGCTTTTCTGTATTTCAGGGGCTTTGGGGGATACTTTGTGGCTCAAGTTGGATAAGTTCTAAGTGCTTGCTGAAATTACCAAAGCCAAGACAGCAAACGCAGGCTGTAAATGCAAGATATTTATCCAAAACTACTTTCTCTGTAGTACTGGATAATTGATATTGCCCAGGCAATTATCTCATATTGGCTTATGATGATGCCTTACAGAAAAGAAAGAAATCTAACACATGTAAGCAGAACTACATGCTGTCCTAATGAAATGATGTTCAAGATTTTTAACTTTTCAACTCAGGACTCACATGTTTTCTGTTATCTCTTCCTTTGGGAGCTCCTAACCAATTCATTAGTTCCATTTTCTGGCTGTGCTTTACTTGATCTCTGGCTTTTGGGTTTTTGAAGTTCAGTTTTAAATTTGAGTTTTTAATCCAGTTTTGCTGTTTTGTAGCTGTGTTCTTCACTTGACTCATGGAAAAACTTTTATGGAGTATTGGAAAGGTCGTGTCCTTGAAGGGAACTGCATCAAATCTGAAACATACTCAGGCTGCATTTGATTGTATCTGAAAGAAGTATTGCTGTACCTTGTTCACCAGATTTCAGGTGTCTTGGCAAGAGAATCAGTGACAGATAACAGGTTCTCTAACATCCTCTATTGGGCTGAAACATTTGCCTCTAATTTTGTTTGTAAACATTGCTTACTAAAGAAACTCAATTTTGGTGGTGAATCAGTATTTTGGAGGGGGTTTATGGAGATAATTTATCTGTCTGTTTTATTTCCTCTGGTTCTGATGGTGGAACAGGAAGGTTATTGCTTAAATGCTGCTGGAAGTTCTTTCAACTTCCCCCCCATTTTTTTGGAAAAGTATGTCTGTGATGGTTGGTCATTGATACAATTGGATTTCAGTGATCATCTTATTTTATGAAATTCATTGCATTAGTAATGCCTGTAATTTGAAAATAAAAATCATAACAAAGTGCTCTTATAATAATGGTATTGATTTTGTCTAAAAGTAAATTACACCAAGATGAAAATTCTTTACATTGGTATAAAGACATTTGAAATGTGTATGTGAGGAATACCTGCTGATAATTTGTTTCAGGAAAGATTTGGATTTCCAGGGGTAGATGAAATTCAAGAGACTAAATGTAAATATTAATTCTGAAGAAAAGCAGGTCTTGCTTTTCATACGATAATAAAATAAATTTAATCTTCTTTCTGGTAGGGAATTTTGGGTTTCTGTACGTGACCTTATAGAGATGGTAGTTTCAGGAGCCAAAGCTTACCAAAAAGCACTGAGATATTAGTAATTATAAGAATAATAAGATTACAAAAAATCATCTCTACTATCACCATGATGTGCCTAGACCTTGAATCCCAGCTGTAACTAGTCCATAGTAGCACAGCTGGAAGGAATTCTGAGGAATGGCAAAGGAACGCCTTTTCTTTATGGAAGAGGTAAAGTCTCTAGGATTTTCCAGCTTAGAAAGGAGGATTAAAGTACAGGTGAGTTTGAGAAATTGGTGAGGTTGGGATAGTCCTGGGTGAGAACTGGATAAAAAAGAAGGTAGCACTATGAAAAGAAAATATGTGTGTAGTGAATCATATGCATTGAGCAAAGACTCTGGGTGGTAAAAGCTGAAATGGGTTAAAAATTCCAGGGAGTTTAGGGAGGAGTGTGTCTTTGTATGTGTGTGTAAGGTGGCAGTGAAGCAAGTGTCAGTATCATCAACTGTCTCCATCTTTTCTTGCTACAGAAGCATAATACCTTCTGGAAAGGCACCAACAAATCAGTTGTGAAGGCGACTGTATTACTAGTTCTGAGACCAAGTATAT